GCAGAAGGAAAAGTGAACCCTCTGAGGTGTCCCAAGGGACTGAAACCCCTCAAACCAAGGGGCAGAAGGACAAGTGAACCCTCTGGGGTGCCCCAATGGGCTGAAGCTCCTCGAGCTGAGGGGCAGAAGGGTGAATAAACCCTCTGGGGTGTCCCAAGGGACCGAAACCCCTCAAACTGAGGGGCGGAAGGGAGAATGAACCCCCTGGGGTGTCCCAAGGGACTGAAGCTCCTCGAGTTGAGGGGTGGAAGGGAGAATGAACCCTCTGGGTTGTCCCAATTCACTGAAACCTCTCACACTGAGGAGTGGAAGGGAGAATGAACCCTCTGGGGTGTCCCAATGCATTGAAACCCCTCAAACTGAGGGGCAGAAGGAAAAGTGAACCCTGTGGAATGTCCTAATGGCCTGAAACCCTTCAAACTGAGGGGCAGAAGGGAGAATGAACCCTCTGGGGTATCCTAAGAGACTAAAACCCTTCAAACTGAGGGGCAGAAGGAAAAGTGAACCCTCTGGGGTATCCTAATTTACTGAAACCCCTCAAACTGAGGGGTGGAAGGGAGAATGAACCCTCTGGGGTGTCCCAGGGGCCAAGTCGTGGCTCCAACAGCCCCGTTCCATGATGTTCACCTTGGTCTGGTACCAGGCCTCGGCCTCGGCGCGGCTGCGGTTGGCGATGTCCTCGTACTGCGCCTTCACCTCGGCGATGATGCTGCTCAGGTCCAGGTCGCGGTTGTTGTCCATGGACAGGATGACGGCCGTGTCGGACACTTGGGCGCTGAGCTGGGCCAGCTCCTGCGGGGAAATACGTGGGAATCACTCCCCTCCTTCCCTCGGGGGGGTCCCTGGCCGGGGGGGTGACAGTGGGACGGGATTTGGGGTGTGTCGGTACCGCCTCGTAGAGGGCGCGCAGGAAGTTGAGTTCGTCGCTCAGCGCGTCCACCTTGGCCTCCAGCTCCACCTTGGTCATGTAGGCAGCGTCCACGTCCTGCAAAAGAGCAGAAATGGGACCACCTGGAGCCTCTTCTCACCCCAGAAGAGTCAATTGGCTCAGCAGTCATGGAATCATGGAATGGTTGGGGGAGCAGCCGTGCTCGGCACAGAGCACCCAGGGGTGCAGCTCTTGCCCCAAAAAAGTGGGATTGGGAAGGGGATAAGAAGAGAAATCCCAGCTGTTTGGCATCGGCACCTGGAATTCCTGGTGCTTCTGGTCCCCTCTGTCTCCCCACAGTCTATTTTTACCCAGGTGAGTCCCGGGTGTGTTGTGGGACAGGAGCGGGAGGAGATTTTCAGCCCCAAAACCATGATCCAAACGGGGGTTTAAAGCCCCTTCTAAAGGACCAGGATGCAGCTCCATGAGATCTCCCATGCCTCAGGACATTCCCAGGGCCGGGGTGGGCTCAGCATCCCAACCCCTCCCGTCTCACCCACCTTCTTGAGCACCACAAACTCGTTCTCCGCCGCCGTGCGCCGGTTGATCTCCTCCTCGTACCTGCAGGGACGGAGGGGAAAGAGCTGCTGGATCACACCTGGGGAGCAGAACAGGTGCCCAGGTAGGGCTGCGAGGGGATCTGGGCACCTCCAAATCAACCTTCCAGCTCAAAGGTGTGAGATCCCCTTTTCTCAAAGGGCTAAAAGGACAGTTTTGATTTAAGGCTGGAGGGACGAGGAGGGTAAAGATGGTTTAGGGGATTTTCCTCTGCAAGTGCCACCACAAGGTGTCATGTCCTGGCTGAGTTGCCATTTCCTGATGGGAAAAATGTCCATGGACCCTTTCTGGGGTCCTACAAGGAGAGAAAACTCAGAGCAGTGGTGCATTAGAAGGGATTAATTAGGTTCTGTTACGGGCTACAGCACAAACTGGAGATACTTTTTCCCCTTTCCTGTAGAAATTCCCATGAATATCTACAGAGCTTAAATAAAACCTTCCCTTATCTTCCCTCCTATCTTAATTGCCCTGGAGTTTTTTTTCCTCCCGAGTCTTTCAGGCAGCAGCTCCAACAAGACACTCACTTGTTCTTGAAGTCCTCGACAAGGTCCTGCATGTTCCTGAGCTCTCCGTCCATGCGGCCCCTCTCGCTGAGGAGGCTGCCCAGCTGCCGCCGCAGGTTGCCCACATAGGCCTCGAACAGCGGGTCCAGGTTGCTCTTGCCAGAGTTGTTCTTCTGCCCCTGCTCCTGCAGGAGGGTCCACTTGGTCTCCAGCACCTTGTTCTGCTGCTCCAGGAACCGCACCTGAGCAGCGGGGAGAGGTTCGGAACGAGAATGAGACCAAAGGCGTTAAATCATAGAATCATAGAATCATAGAATCATAGAATCATAGAATCATAGAATCAGCTGGGTTGGAAGGGACCTCCGAGATCATCAAGTCCAACCCTTGATCCAACCCCGCTGTGGTTCCCAGCCCATGGCACTGATGCCACATCCAGTCTTAAAAACCTCCAGGGATGGAGAATCCACCCCCTCCCTGGGCAGCCCATTCCAATGGCTGATCACCCTCTCTGCAAAGAAATTCTTTCTAATATCCAACCTAAACCTCCCGTGGTACAACTTGAGACCCAGCCCTCTTGTCTTGCTGAGAGTTGCCTGGGAAAAGAGACCAACCCCCCCCTGGCTCCCCCCTCCTGTCAGGGAGTTGCAGAGAGTGAGGAGGTCTCCCCTGAGCCTCCTCCAGGCTGAACAGCCCCAGCTCCCTCAGCCTCTCCTCACAGCACTTGTGCTCCAGTCCCTTCCCCAGCCTTTTGCTCCCCTCTGGACCTGCTCCAGGACCTCAATGTCCTTCCTGAGCTGAGGGCCCAGAACTGGACACAGCACTCCAGGGGTGGCCTCACCAGTGCTGAGTCCCAGGCAAGAATCACTTGAATCACTTCCCTGGCCCTGTTGGCCACACTGTTCCTGATCCAGACCAGGATCCATCGGCCCTCTTGGCCACCTGGGCACACTCTGGCTCATGTTCAGTTTCTTGTCAAATCCAGCTGGGAATATCCTCTGGATTATCCAGCCCGTCCCTCACCTGAGCAAATCCTCCCTCAGTGGACAGTTCTCTTAATTTATGAAGCCAACGAGCAACAATTAGAAAATGAGGGTTCAGCTCTTTCCCCACTGGCTTTTCTTTAACATCCTTTGGGGTTGTTTTTCTTTTACCTTGGAAGATATCTATCTTCCTTCCTTAAAGCCAAGGCCTGGCTACTACAAGTAGACGACTTAATTGCCTTTCCCTTGGCTCACACGTGCCTGAGCCAATTAAAAGCCAAGGGAGGACTTAAGTTGAGTCACCATAAAAGGATTTTATCTTGCAGGCCATAACCAAGCCCAACACACCCGCTGTGACTCCCCACAGAGAGAGGAGGTCGAGTCACCAGACTTGGACTAAAACTGCCTTGTTCTATTTAAACTAACACTAAATGCTATTTCTCAGGCACAAAACCTGGACCTAATGCTGTTATTACAAGCCTCAAGCCTCGTTTTCTGCCCTGTAACCATTCAGCAGGACGTTATTTTGTGAGGGCTTTGATGAAGACCCACAGGCAGGGAACGGGCAAGAGACAAGTGGAGCTCTGTGGAGTTGTATTTTTGTACCTCCAAGGCTCGTTCTGTCCCTCTTCTGAACCCACAGCCCCCGCTGGAGCCTCACCTTGTCGATGAAGGAGGCGAACTTGTTGTTGAGGGTCTTGATCTGCTCCTTCTCGTCCTTGCGGACCTGCTGGATGCTGGGGTCGATCTCCAGGTTGAGGGGGGCCAGCAGGCTCTGGTTCACCGTCACCTCCTGGATCGTGCCCACCCCGGAGGGGCCACCGGCGAATCCTGCCGGGTTCCTGCCCCCTCCCAACCCCGCGGGGAACCCTCCCAGCCCCCCGAGCCCCCCAAAGCCGAACCCTCCTGCTCCTGTGTGCCCGCCCCCAAAGCCCAGCCCCGCAGCCCCTCCGCCGAAGCCGAACCCTCCTCCTGCCCCGCCGAGCCCCAGCCCGAGCCCAGCGCCAGCTCCTGCACCCCCAAACCCTCCTCCTCCACCGAGCCCGAGCCCCAGCCCACCACCAGCACCACCAGCACCGAGCCCCAGTCCCCCAGCACCCCCTGCACCCCCTCCCAGCCCGGAGCCCCCCCCGGCTCCCCCTCCAAAGGCGGCCCTGAAGCTGCTCCCGACCCCGATGGAAATCCTCTTGCTGCCCCCGAGGTTGTAGAGGCTCCTGCTGCCAAAACCTCCCCCGCCACCGCCTCCACCTCCCCCGACGAGCCTCCCAAAGCCGCCCCCTCCTCCTCCTCCTCCTCCTCCTCCTCCTCCTGCCCGTGCCACGGACACGGAGCTGAAGCCAGCCCTGCTGCTGCTGGGCACGATGGCCGAGGCAGCGCTGTAGGACCTGCCCCCGGGCCCTGCCCTCATGCTGAAGGTTCTGTTCATGGTGCAGGAGGGAAGAAGAGCCCGCTATGGGGGGAAGAAGAGCCCGCTGTGGAGGGACGAGCCCGCTGTGGAGGGACGAGCCCGCGGGCGAGACGCGGCGCCCAGAGAGACTCTGCTCTCTGCGGGCAGGCAGGGTGGGACTCCCCTTTTATCCCCCCTCCAGCTGGGCTTGGCTGCGTGGAAGTCCAGTGATCAAGCCGGTGCCTTCATGGTTTTGACGTGCCCGGAGCCAGGTGTCTCCCTGAAACTCGGGTGAGCACTGATGGCACTCAAACACACCTACGGGGCTGCTGGGGATCCGCTCAGCTGGAAGGGGTTACCTAACGCCCGGATTCCTGGCGGGGAGAGCCCAGCCCTGGGTGCAGAACCTCTGCAGGGACGTGCTGGGTTAATCTGGGTTCATTTCTCCAGCCCTGGGAGTGCTCAAGTCCAGGTTGGAGCAACCTGGGAGAGTGGAAGGTGTCCCTGGTCCAACAGAAGGTGTCCTTGGTCTAGTGGAAGGTGTCCCTGCTCCAGTAGAAGGTGTCCCTGGCCCAGTGGAAGGGGTCCCTGGTCCAATAGAAGGTGTCCCTGCTCCAGTGGAAGGTGTACCTGGTTTAGTGGAAGGTGTCCCTGGTCTAGTGGAAGGTGTTCCTGGTCCAATAGAAGGTGTCCCTGGTCCAATAAAAGGTGTCCCTGGGCCAATAGAAGGTGTCCCTGGGCCAATAGAAGGTGTCCCTGATCCAATAAAAGGTGTCCCTGGTCCAATAAAAGGTGTCCCTGGGCCAATAGAAGGTGTCCCTGATCCAGTGGAAGGTGACCCTTTGCATAGCAGGGGGTGGAACTGGATGGGTTTTAAGATCCCTTCCCACACAACCCATTCTGGGCTTCCATTATTTCCTCACCGTGGATCCCAGAATATCCCGAGTTGGAGGGACCCACGAGGATCATCGAGTCCAGCCCTCAAATCCCATTCTGGGCTTCCATTATTTCCTCACTGTGGATCCCAGAATATCCCGAGTTGGAAGGAACCCACAAGGACAGTCGAGTCCATCTCTCAAATCCCATTCTGGGCTTCCATTATTTCCTCACTGTGGGACCCAGAATATCCCGAGTTGGAGGGACCCACAAGGACCATCGAGTCCATCCCTCAGCCCTGCACAGGTCCATCCCCAGGAGTCCCACCCTGCGCCCCAGAGGATCATCCAAACCCTCCTGGAGCTCTGGCAGCCTCGGTGAAGTGACAGAAAAGGCATTTTAAAGGCGTTAAACCCAGCAATCACACCCAGGACACCCCAGCTCTGCTCCCAAGGTGCAGCAGATCCACAGAGAGCTCAGGGCAGAGTCCTGTGAGAATAAAATGGCCAAATCTGGACCAAAACAGCTCCTGGGGCCTCTTCCCCTGGAGGAGAGGGCGGGTGAGACACTGATGAGCCCTGACGGCTCTGCTGGGGCTCCAATTTATCCAGTCTGCCTGTTCCCACTGGCTGGGCAGGGCCTGCCTGCTGGGCTGGCACAAAGAGCTCCTGATCCACTCTGCCTCTTTCCCATTTCCACATATTTAAATGTCACCCCAAATTTTGGCCCGTTTTGTCTCAGTTATTTGGTTTAGGGCAGGTTTTTCTGGGCTTCTCTTCTTGATGTTTGCACTTCCAGAGGACAATTCCATCCCAGCCAGAGGCTGCTGTTGGGATTTCTCCTGCCAAGTGATTGTGTGATCGATGCATTTTCGTCTTGACCTCAAAATTATTCCAGTAAAAGAGGCTGATTTTGTGGAAAACTCCCTGCCCAGCTCTCTGGAAGGATGTGATTTGCCTGCTTTATGTTGCCAGTCCTGAGTTTCTGGCTCTTTCCCAGCTTTGATTCCTTTTAAAGACCTTTGAACCTTCCATTCAAAACGCCTCCAAAAGCAGATTTTAACCAGCATGAAAAACACTCCCACAAATTCTCCTTCTTTTACTTCCTGGAGTCCTTGGGGAAAAAAAAAAAAAGAAAAAAAAGAAGAAAGCTCCAATTGAAGGAGGTGTGGTGACACTTTCTGGCATCTCAGACTTTGTAAATCTATGTTTGGAGTATTTTATTCACTGTATTTCAGAGCTCAGCTGGTTTTCAGTGCTGCCTTTGCCCAGGCCCTGCACATGACTGGAGTTTAAACACATTTCCAGGACAGGACTCTACACGTCCTTCAAAACACATTTGTGAGCCCCAAGTGCTCCAAACCCACGAGGGACGAGCTAAAATCCCACTGGCACCTCTGGCAGAGCAGGGAAGCAGGTGCTGCTGAGCACAGAACTCCAAAAATCTGATTATCTGGGAGGAAAAGCTGCTGGGGAGGATCCAAAGGGAGCACAAACAGGGAATTTCCCTCTGCAGGCAGAGATTATTCCCGGCTGGAGCAGGCTGGCTTTGGGAAAAGTCAGTGTGAGCCTGCCCAGGATGTCACTTGGGATTCCTGAGCACCCACTGCCCTCAGGGTTTGCAGCAAATCCAGGTCTGGGATGTTCTGGGATGTCACTGGGAATTCTGGAGCACCCACAGCCTGCAGGGTTT